ACGGCAGCTCTAAATATCTCAAATGTTCCCTGCACTCTATCTAAAAATAAATTGTGCTGGAGTTGGGTTTTAAGGAAGACTTTTAGTTTGCCGGGTAGCCAGCATTTTTACAGCTTTGGCAGCCCCTGTATCCATGTCATTGCATGTTTCCTCTAAAACTGAAATACTTTACATGCAAACGATTCGATTAACTACACAGTTCAAAAACATATATGTGAACAGTTTTACCTGCACACCTACCAAACAGCACAAACCTTTCCTGGACCTCTCTGCAGACTATACTCCATTTAAGAAATACAGCCTGGTCTGGGACCCGCCCAAGCCTGTTATTAGACAGTGTAGGAGCAAAAAATCTATTGATGTGTTCATCCCACTGCTATCCCAACCTGTACAAATTTTCATAGATGGCATTGTACAAACCAAGAAAGCCAAGATTGGCTTAGAGTTCTGACCCTTCATATCCTAGTCGGAGTACAGAAAACTACAGTCGGCTATTATCAAGACAGATTCAGGTACCTTGTACTAGTTCTATCTAAAATGCATTAAATTACTTTTCTAGTAAATACATAACTGAATAAAATGGTGGGTTTTTATACCTCCATGAAGCTGAGCTTTAGAGAACCATGCCCATAATTTTGGGTAAAGGTCTACAGCACTAAGAATTGTGATGAAGTTTCAGTCAGCTTTTTGCTTGGTATGTGAGCAGACAGCTGCTATTACATCAGGAGGAAATCCAGGGCTGCTGAGGAAATGGAGTGCTTGTAAATATAGCAAAAGCCTTCATAATGCATTAAATCCCTGAGAGCAGCTGCTAAGGTGAAAGTCAACACCCATAGCTTAAACTGGTGCAGTCCAACTTCCCTTTTATAAATGGGGTATGGGGGTATAAATTTATTTTGGATCTGTGTAGTGGATCCAGCACAACTTTGACATGATAGTGCTTTCGTGGCAAGATACTTTCAGGATCAGCAAAACTACTTTATCATTGACTGACTGTTGTCTGAGTCTCCCACCATCTCGTCAAGAAGGCTCTACACTTATAGCTTTTTCTTATTCAGCTCACGGCCTGAATGAGAGCAAGGTGCCCAATTACCTATCCACGCTAAACACGTGGATGGCAGGATCTCGCTGCTGGTTATTGCATTTTGACAGCTGGTGCCTGTGGCAGTCGGAATACAGAACACCTAAACAATCAGCCAATCATCTGTAGTCACCATTTGGCTAACAAGTTTCCACCTTATTCCTTCAATTCTTCAATTGCAGTTTGTTGAACTGTGTGTTTCTGAAATTCTATCAGTGTGTGGCCAGCTTTACACTGTTCTCTGCATTTTTTTTTCATGTACCTGTCCTATTTTAGTCCAATCATGTCATTCCAATTTTCAATTTATTGTTACATTTTAAACCCATTTAATCTGCAAGGGTGTAAAGCTTACCATGCACTGTTCTATTTTTTCTTCGTTCAACCCGCGTGCATAACGAAAAAAATAGAACAGATTCAACCGCCAGCGCTTTACCAGCGCCAATCGAGGAATCCCCGCCATTTGCTTTGTGTTCTCTTAGGTCCTCCACCTACTGTTTCTGCATGTCAATGATTTTAGATTTTTAGATTTTCTACTGCTCCCCC